AAAAGACTTCATATAAAGTCAATTTTAGTTAATAAACTCATTGAATTTCTTGATAAATCTGAAAGAAAGATATAAAAATTATAAATAAAATATAGAATAAAAAGTATAATTTATAAATAATAATTATTTCCAAGGACTCAAGTCTCTAGTCCAAATTATAAACCCCATTTCAAGCTATATTTTCTTGAATTTCCCAAAGATAATATGGCTCAATTAGTAGCATAATTTCTGATTTCTGAATTAAAGTGCCACTGTTACTCCCAATTTACCAATCGTTTTCTTCGATTTCAATTTGTGCTGGAAAATACCTCAGAAATGTGGTAAATACAAAATTACAGGCAGCAGACAGCAAGTTCAATGTGGAACTTTCCATTTTGGACCAGTTTACGAATTTCGTTCGTATCGATGGGAAGGAAGAGAGCATCGTCAGCTCATTCCTAGTTGCTGCAAGTTGGTAGTAAAAGTGCAACTTTGTCTGCAGCTGCAGTAAATATGCAAAACTCCTGCTACACAGGGTCCTGGGTCTTGCTTTGTTAGGGGAGGGAGGGGACGAGCAGGCCACAGCAGCTGTTGTTCTAGGTTCACACACACGCCCCCAAAACTAACCCCACACCCCCTCCGTTCCCTGACCACTGTGGAGAGACTTTCAAGTGTGCTCGGGATCTGCGCGTTATGCAAATCTAACTTTTTCCATTATTTTCTGTGTGTTGCCGCCGCCGCTACTGCTGCTACTGCTGCTTGTGGTTTTTATTTATGGTCTATTTTTGTTTTCATTTTTTTGGTTAGTTACCCCAGCAGCCCCTGGCACCCTTTCCCCATGTAAATAAAAGCCAACTGCAAAGTTTTGACAACGCTTCTCGGGTTGTGCAGCAGCAGCAGCAGCCGCCGCCGCCGATGCCGCCTCCGAAAATTGGGTCGGCAAAAGCGAAATTTATGTCGCAGCCGCGTGCAAAGTGACAGCGAACAAATTGCCGCGACACAGACACTGAAACAAGCAGACTTTCACACCAAGTTTATGCTATGCTGTATGAGAATTACTAAAAAACACAAAACTATACACAAAAACCACATCGAAATCGGGAATTTTTAAAGAAGAAAAAAGTAATTTTCTTAAGAATTTTTTTTTTTAAGGAGAATATTATAAAAATTGTGGAGTTGAATATTCATAAACAAGCAATTTATGGCATATTTTCAAGGGACTTGAAAATTATATATATATTTAAACAATAACTTATTAGAATTCGTTGAAGATTTAAAATAAATAAAGCAAAAGTGTTTTGTTTTTCTTATAATTAAAAGTGTTTCCAGTACATTTTTGGGTCACCTTTAAATCTATTTTTATATAATTACATATTGTTTAGCTAATTAATTGCTTAAAAACTAAAATTTTCATTAAATATTTAAAGTACAAGATTTTATAGCATACTTTTCGACAGCATTTCAAGCGATTTCAAATTCATAGCAATTTTTTTTAAACATCAGGATACCAAGGAAATCATTGAAGGAGTAATTTTTATGAAAAAGGTGTCCAAAAGTAAAAGAAAAACCTTATTTTTTTTTTCTTTTTGTTCTTTTAAGATTTAAGCTAAAATTATTTTAATTTTTCTTCTAAATAAAGCTTATAAAAATAATATAAAATTCTAAAGCATACTTTTGGGCATGTATTATTATGTTTCTAAATCGCAAAGTGTTCTAAAATTTAACAGCATTTTATTAAATCTGATTTTGATTAAAAAATGTATTTTTATAAATCCTGAAATCCTAAAAGACCTTACAGCAAGCCACGTAAAATGCCTTCAAAAGTTTGGCTAATCAAGTGACACAACACAAAAGAAGGAAAACAGAAAGCCAGGGGTTTTTAGGGGCTCTGGAAAATCGCTGTTCCCAAAAACCCAAAGAAGCTAATTTTTAGGATTTTCAGAAAATCTCTGTCTAAATGCGGCCAGAAAGTTGTTCGAGGCAACTTTGAATTATTGATAAAATACTTTGACAGTGTGTGTGTGTGTGTGTATGCTTGTAGTTTTCCATTTTCCGCCCAGACAAACAAATTTCCAACTCGCATGCACACACAACTTATTTGATGCACTTCAATTCGTAGCCGGAGAGACAAATCCTGGAAAGCAAAAAGAAAAAGGGAGCGGGGACGACATTGATAAATGTTATTTTGGGCAACTTATTTCGGTTGCTTTTGGGAAATGCACATAGAGAAGTGCTTTAAAGAAAATTTACAAATCGTAGAGAACTTTGGAAAACCATAAATGCAGGTCACAGGGAATCCCGAAATAGTATCCATCTGGCAAATGCTAAACTTTCTAATTAAATTCAATGCTGGACCCTCTCTGAGTTATTAAAAATACATTAAAACTGCTTTCGAAAGCGGCGGCAGGGCGGAAAGTGTTAAGCGCAAGCGGTTACCAGCATTTGTTGCTGTTTGTCGCAAAGTTTGCCGTTTCCCGCCGCCACAAATTTTGAAGTCCTTGCTCTTGGTCTTGCCCGCTTTTCCACCACCTTGGCATCCTTTTCTTCTGACCGTCTTTGTTTGCTTCCGGAAACTTTTGCCGACGTCGTCGACGGCGACTCCTGGCCAGCTGCTCCTGGGTTCCTTGCTGCAGTCTGCAGTTTGCAGGCCGTGATTGTTGTCCTCTCTTTCTCTTTGTGTGTGTGTGTGTGCTTGCTGCTGGCCCTTAATTTGCTGGGCCAACTTTGCCTAATCAGTGTGCCGGCAGCTGCTGGCAGCTTCCTCTCGGATTGCGTATACGCACTGTTGGTCTAGAGAAGCTCTAAGACCGTCACAGGCTTTCCGCTTAAAATTTAATAAAAAATAGGTGGTTTTTGTTATATATATATCTATACCTTTTGGATCACTAATTTATTAAATATAAATAAATAGTCTTTAAACTATTAAATTAAATTATTTCCCAAAAAGGTAATTACAATCTTCCCTACTTGTTCTCCCAACTTGTAACCTCGTTTCCAGCTCCTAACAAAAGCTAATGGCCAGCGAATGATAGTGAATCGAATGGCAACGCCCACGCAAATAGATCGTCCACACGGCGTATGTGTGATATGTGTAATTTGTACTTTATTCCCTGTTCCATTACCAATACCCCTTGACCCGTTCTCTCTCTACCTTTAGCATACTTAAAGCCAAAGCAATTACACTGAAATGAGCTAATAATATTCAATTTCAATGCCTCCCCCTACCCCACCCACACCACTCGATCAGCATTTTGTCCAAATGTCAACCAGAACCAGCAACAACAACAACAACAAGGACAACACCAGATGTCAAACTGTCACAGGGCCAGACGACGAACCGTCAGACAAAGAGACGCGGGGGGTCATGTGTCAATGGCTGGCACTTCACCGGGGGAAAAACCCCTGGTTGCATTGTGGGAACCAGTGCAACTGTGCCGCTTGAAATGTGAAAAATTACAAGAGGAAAAACGAACGAAAACGTTAATAGAATAGCAGCCAAAGGTGGGGCGCGGCCGGGAGAGTCATGGAAATCACTCAATTGGACGGCTAACTGACAGCCACACATTATCAAATATTAATGAAGGGGGGAAGAGGGTATATATAGAGGTGGGCTTTGGGCTCGCTGGCTCATTGAAGCCGTTTTTGGAGGGGCCTTGGGAGCTGGGGGCGAACTTTGACACCAACGCCCCCCTTCAAAAAGTCACAGGAGCAGGGAACACCCTCGAACATTTTACAACCAAAAACATCTGCTTGAGGGTTCCACATCACATGACTAGCTATAAACAGGCAGAGCTTGCTGCGTCACTGGAGCAGGAGCAGAAGCAGGAGCTGGAGCAGAACCTGGGTCTCTGTCTCATTTATAATTCAGCAAAGTAAAACATTGAAGTAATGAAATTACACCAGAAGAATTTGTCCGGCCAGCCAGACGACACATTTGCCTTGGTGGAAATATGAGCGGCGGCGAATAAATAAAAATTTAATGAAAGCACGTATACGCCGGGTGGGCCCCCTGCTCTTTTGACAAAACATTTTGTGAGGGGAAAAAAATGCAAATAATTGAATTTCTGTCAACGAAATTAAATTACGCCTACCCCTAAAACGCGTCTAGCCCTTTTAAAGCCTCATGTCCATACCGTCGTCTGCATAATGCATTTTAAATTGCGCATAATTAAAATAAATGCAACAAATGATTTAAATTTATTATAATGCCAGGCAGTAAAGCAACACTATATGTAATATCTGTGTGTGTGTATATGTTTGGATGAATGGCAGATATATACAATAAAAGTTAATGACAATGCATAAAAGTTCATTACTGCCAGACGCACACGGGAAATGGAAAATGGGGGAGGTGGCAAAGATATGCCGCAAATTGTGCAGCTCAGAATGTGATATAACAGGGGAAAAATAATAATAATAATAATAATAATACTAATAATAGTAAAACGACAAGCAATCAAAGGACACACACACACACACAGGTTGCACAACCCACAACTGACCACTAATTAACCTAATTTCTAGACAACAATCGCTGGGGAAAGCATGGGTATTGGCCACCAAAACCTTCATTTCCGATAAGGTCCATAGATTTAGACAATGACCATTTATTTTTATAATGTTTTTTTTTTATTCCTTTTTTTTTTGGTAATTATTTATGCCAGGAAAATTATTTCAATATTAATTCAACACAAAACTTTCAATAAACCGTAATTATCGACGAATGTAGATCAAATAATCACGTTTTAGTTGCCGCCAAACAGCAATAACAACAACAACAACTGAAAATTAATTAGGGAAAATAACAAAAATGAGAATTATTATCCCGACACACACTTACACACACATCCTGTATTTGTAATTGGACTTAAAACGCCAAATAGCCGGCTGTCATCGATATAAATTGAACAGTTTTATGTTTCATGGAATATTTATTAGCTATATGTATATATATTTATCATAATTAAAGATATACCACATGCCTCCAACTAACTAAATATTTTCTATATATTTTACAGCTGGCTCTCCCCAAAGATTTAAGCAAATAAAAGCACATAAAATGCTGGAAAATCTGCAAAATTCATTAAACGAAAACAAAAACAAAGGCAGACAACTCGCAAACCTACAATATTCAAACTAAAAACCCAAATTCGTTTAAATTCAAAGTCGAGTTTTGAGTCATCCAAGTCCTGTTAAGGAAACTCTGTCCAGGAATGGAACCCTGGCTCGGTGGCGGCGAGGCCTGGCTGAGGCTGCGGCTGAGGATGCATAAATCAAAGTGAGTTTAAACTGCCTTTAGCTTGTTCTTTTAAATCTACGAAATTAAATTCATTTCCCACTTGTTCTTCTGATTGTTAAATTTAGCTCCATGAACAATGAAAGCTATTTTTGCTGCTTAGCTATTTATATATTTATAATTTTCCAAGAAGACCTTCTCTCAACCATGAGAGAAGCTGAAAAGCCTGGAAGAGAGTGAGTGACGAGGGTTACAAGGCATTTAAAAGGTCTTTTTGGTATATAGTACTCTTGGCATATTTTATTGCCTTCGATTTTGGGCCCTCAGAGATGGCTTTAATGGTGAAAATTCTTATAATTAAGCCCAGGACTCGTTACAAAAGTGGCTGTCAAAAGAATTTCATAAATGAAAAGCCATAAAAGTGCGACCGAGAGAACCGAGAGAAAAATCAATGCCGATGCCACAGCTGTGGGCTGCCATTACTAAGCTAAGGACATGACCAGCATCAATAAGTTTTGGGACAAGCAGCTGCTGCTGTTTCCTAGAAGGAATTTATTGACACACACACACACACTAGGAGACTCTGGGGAGGGAAGGTCCTTCGATAATCACTGCGGCTATGTGAAGAGAAACCCCGAGAATTTCTAGAGAAATCGAAATGGACGCAGTGCAAATTCGAGGTTAATGCACAAATAAATCTGCCACAAATTGTAAGCCATCAAAAATCAGGTCTTTATATATATATATATATATATTTAGTATATATAGAAGAGTAAGGGGAAGAACTGCTGCTGCCTGATGGCACAAAAATAATAATTATTAACGCTCAACTGCGTGGCAATCAACAACATTTTATCTGGCGCTGCCAAACCAGTTTTCCAACTTTTGCCGCAGAGTTTGTGTCTCAGTTTCAGTTTCAGCTTCAGCTTCAGCTATACAGTTCCTGTTTCGGTTTCGGTTTCGGGGGGTTTTTTTTCGTCGCTTCCCTCCGATATCGTGAGCCTGCTAACTTCCGATTTCCGGCGTGCGCCCGTGATTGAGCGCCGCTTTATTTCCTGCGAGGCGGCGCCATCGAGGACCACAAGGACTGTCCTCCTGTCCTCCTGCGACGCCTGTTTGACTTCTGATAAACTTATTATACACTCTTAGAGGCCAAAGGCAAGGCGGGTTGCTGGAGAGAGGGTTGGCACTTGTTAGGCTTGCCTTTGCCTATTTCAAGTCCTTTAAAGTTCGGTCGCCTGTCATCCCTCCCGAAACAAAAAGTAAATAAAACGAGGTGAGGTGGGGCGGCACAGCCCACTTTCGGCACAGAGGATATGTTTACGTAACAGCCTTTTGATCGGCTTCCCCTAATGGGTACTTTTAACGTAAATCGACCTAATCTCTGTGGTTTAGAGTCAAGGGTTAGAAAAAATCTTGTTTTTTTTTAAAGCAAAAATTTAAATATATATATTTAAATATATTATTTTTTCTTAAAACAACAGTCAAACAGCACTTTAGACGAATTTAAGTAGGTTTTTCGGATTGGTAAATAATTTAATGAGCTCTTAAGAAGATTTTAAGAAGATTTTGTTAGTATATTTGTGAGATTTCAAGATAAGAACATTTTTAATGGGCTTTAAATAAGTTTAAAATGTTAAAAATGATTCAAAATAATTTAAAGATATTATGACAAGATGACCTGCCAATTATTAAATTTAGAAATAATCAAAAATAAATAACCTTGCAAGTTTTTAATGTATTTTACTTCAAAACATGGTGTTTGTGGGGAAGACAACGAATATGCCACCCTTTGGTTTATAATAAAAACGCACGATAGGTAGTTATTTCATTTCCGTGTTTGTTTTTTATCGGAGCTGCAGACTGCGTATGTAAAAGCTTCGTAAGGAGTGATTATTTGAAAATATAACTTTATTTAAAACGATAAATACAAATTTTGCTAAGTTTCATTGTCCACCTGGCAAATAAAAAACAAAGAATCATTACAATTGCTGTCCCACATTTCGGCATCAAACAAATCGACGCAGTTCTCCTCATGATTTTTGTCGTTTGGTTGTCCCTCTTTCCACTTTAAAAATTGTGCTGGCTTGTGCGAGGCCACAGATACGAAGTGGCCCTCATTTTCCCTATCATTAATGCCTAGCCAATAGCTCCTATTTTTATCAAGTTTTTGTGTAATAGCGTTAAACTCATCTTCATTTCGAAATGAGGCTAAGTAACCTCCCATTTCACGACACCTTCTCTCAGCAGTCTCCAAATTCCATCGTTCATTTACAAATTTAAAATATCTGGTACCGATTAGCTCGAAACCTGATGGTTTCGTAATCGTGTCCGAAGCCGGGACTCCCGCCTTGGCTGCTTGTTGGGGGGCTGCCGTCTTATTCGATATGGGATGTACTTGAGTTTCCACCTTGGCAGCATCTATCTTGTTCGGCACTGCCTGCAGTTTATTTACAACAGCTTGAAGTTGGATTTCAATCATTTTTTGTACCGCAAGGAGACTTTCATCCAGTTTAGCCTCCAGTTTCGTTTGCACCTCCTGAAGTTGTCCTTCCAGCTTCTTTTCCACTCCTTGTAATTGTCCTACCAGCTTAGATTCCACTCCTTGTAGTTGTCCATTCAGCCTATTTTCCACTATTCGTAGTCGTTCCCTCAACTGCACTTCTCCTATTTTCTCCTCCAATGTCTCCAGCTTAGTATTCCCTTCGTTCTGGGCTTTGACGACTTCATTAAGCCGTGGGCTAAGTTCAGTAAGACAAATGCTGTCGCACTGATTTTGTATGGGATCCTCAATGAGGCATATGTACCCCAACTGATCCTCCGCGAAGGATCCTTGGCACAGGATACTGACAGCCAGCGCCCAAAGGAGGTAGTTTCCGATGTAGTGCATCCTTGAAATGTCGGAGATTATAAGACCGTGGTACTTGAAAGTCTCTGGTGAACTGATTCCCGAATTATTCAAAGACTTTCGAAGAGGGATCGAGCTTAGGCTGGGATTGATAAGAGAGCTTTTTATGAAGATAACGACATACTATGTCCACGCAATTCCCAATTTCTGTGCAGTTTGTAGCTCAGTTTAATCAACGTGACGTAAATCAGGGGTTCAAGAGTGAAGGTGAAAGTCGCTTATCAACGGATTCCCAAAATCAGGCGATGGCTTCCGAAGAAAGATTCGGTCTAAGCTGGGATTGATAAGACCTATTTTTGACACTGACCGCATTCTGTGTGATCGTGTGCTGGTATGTATATACATACATATATATTTTCCAAGATCAGTGTATATATTTGCCCAAAAGTAAGCTGAAAAAAAACCGAAAAGGGGTTTAAGACTGGGAAATTCGGAAAAAGAGAACCTTTCTCGCCGCTTCTATGTCTGCGGGCATCAATGTCAGTGATTTATCACAAGGCACAACGCACATAAATAAACACCAGCAGCCATCGGAGACGGAGATGGAGTCCGGATTTGCTGATACTTTTCCACCGAAGCATTGAGAGGGGGGAGTTGGGTGGGTATTTTTTGACAGTGCGTTGCTTTACGCATCACTAGACTTATCCCGGTCCCGTCTCCAGGAGTCCCCTGGCCTTAAGAATCCCCCCACTCCTATGGGTTTTCCTTTTCATTTGACGCTTTGTGCACTTGACTTCGGAGGCTGCTCCTGCTCCTGCTGCTCCTTCTTCGATTTGCTGCCTCTAACGACCCTCATTGTTTGACACTCCGCTCTCTGCTCCGCTATATCTGCGATATGCCTCTCCCCTTATCTCCCGGGAATGATGGCAGAGAGAGAACGAGAGGCGACATTATTTTCACTTTATTGAAAACTTGTAGCCGAAATTGATTTTCTGCGTCTCCTGGCGGCGGCAATGGCGGTGGCGAAGGCGGCACATTCCAACGCCCAGGGAATTGACATTCCCAAAAACCCCAGGCCCCCCTCTGCATTCGCCGCTGGCTTTGTCTTCTGGCAAATTTATTTCGCATTTAGTTGAATACTTTCTGTCATTTTCTGGCTGGTGAAAATTTTAGCATACATTTATTTTAAAGACTGTAATTTCATTTTATTCGCATGCTAATGTTGTGTTATTAAGTATTTATTTGTGCACATTCCACGGCTAATGGCTTTTTTTCTTTCTGCATTGAAAAATCAATTTTGAGCTTGAAAATGTTCAGCTAATTGTTGCTGTGTGGCAGCAAAAAACTATTTTCCAGTTTCCTGCAATGCAAATTCTCATTCAACACAAAAAGCTTAATATCAATAAATTAATATAGAGATGTAAGGGGTTACAGTTTTTATTTTTTGCCGGAAAGAACCCTATAGATTGTAGGGGATAGTCCCTTCCTCCACCTCTCTGGGCTTTATCTTTTTTAGAATATTTTATTTAAAATTCCGCCATAACCCGGATTCTGTGCCGGAGAGCAGAGCAAAACAATAAAAGCAATCAGTGCTTAAAAATCAAATTCAATTTGCGCATATTCAGCATTTTTTGGTCGTTGTGCTTTTGTTTCAGCTTTCTGTTTTCCGTTTTCTCTCTCTCTCTCTGCTTTTGTTTTGTTTTGTTTTGTATTCGTTTTTCATTTTTTTGAAAAATTTATAACAAAAATGCTGGCGAAAAATATGAATACTATGAGCCAGCGAGGAGCAGGAGGAGTTTTCCCAAGGACGCCAGACGCGAAGAAGTACTGCTGGGTGAATCATAAATATTCCCTGAATCAACAGAATATGATGAAAATCCATAAATCATTGTGTGTGTGTGGGCGGCAGTGGAGTTGAGATTGGGATTGTCAGTGAGGAGGAGGAGGATCCAAAAGGGGTGGAGGTGGCAGCCAGAGTCAAGAGGAACTGCAAAGCCTGAGCAAGGATTTCAAATGCAAATCAACTGTGTCAAAAACTTTCGCTGCCAAGTGCTCAACGGTAGAGGAGCCGGGCAACTTTCTTTCCCCACTGAGAGAGAGTCTCTGCCACGCCCACTTCGAGGGGGTTGAGGGTGGGCAGTGCAAACAAATAATGAAGATGAATGCAAACAGTAAAACACCAAGCAAATAACAG